GCACAGCCAATCAAATCTCCAACAGACAGATAATCAGAAGCCCTACCTGCCCACTTTCTAGAAGAACACTTGGTGGGCACCAGAAAAGCTGTTGGAAGGTGTCATGGTGCCTGGGCACCATGTGTGGAACCCCGGTTTAAAGCAATAGACCCATTCAACCCAAGTCAGATTATTCTTAATATTTGAAGACCCTACTTGGTGGAAAGATGGCATTTGATGTTTTAAACAAATACTTGTAAAGACTGCATCCCTTCTGACATAATTACTACCTCCAGCCCCTTCAGTATGACGACACGTAACGTCCACAGCCTCAGTCCATTCTGTTCCCTGTTCAAAGACCTGTTCAACTCAGGCTGCTGACCATGAAGTTAACCTGAAGTTAAGCCTCTCAAGATTCCATGTGATTCCATTAAGAATCTTACTGCACATTAAGATATGCAACAAAACATTCCTGGAAGCTGCCTTGATGCAGTGCTGAAAATGTCATCTTTTCCTTGCACCTTACCTTGTAAAGCTCTTCATCAAACTGACTTAGCTGAGCCACTTCCTGCATCACTTCCTTTCTCATGAAGAAGGGGGTATAAACAGGGGTGTATCCTTTACTGAGCAACGTCTGCAGAGCATACTGAATGAGAGCCTGCTCTAGGAAAACGAGGGGACCCTGAAGGACAAAGAGAGGGGAAGTGGACCAGTCAACGTTCTATTTCACAAAGACCCCAGCAGGGGCTACCTGAGAACACATATCTTGAGTTGGCAGGCACAGATCTAACAATATGCTACAACTCTGGTCCTCTATTCACATAAATTTACTTTTTGAATAAGTCTTTAATATACTACATACTAAGCTATTACATTCTTACCTTAAGAAAGTATCCTCTGCTACCAGCTACGATGGCTCCCTTTTCTCCCTCATAGCCATCCACCATGACAACCAGGTCCACATGGGAGTACTTCTTCCTCACTGTACAGTCTCCCCACATCCTCTCCACTTTGTTATCTGCATCCTACCAAT